AACTGTCACATTTCCAACTGTCATATAGCGATTTTTCTTGGACTTCGGCTGTATCGGCGAGTGCATTAGCGTTTTTTTTCGCAAATTTTTTCGATTTTCCACAAGTAAAAAATACAAAAAACACATCAGCAAAATGACCAACGCATGGAGAGCAGCTGGACTTACGTAAGTATTGCTGAGGATTGCGAAAATCCGCGATAATTCAGTTTAATCATCGCTTGATAGCATATCTATTACCATACCCACATTATGTAATATCAATTTGATATGCAATTCCTTATTTGTTTTGTCTGTTCCAGCTACATCCAATACTCCAACATCTGCGCTCGTGTTGTGCGACAAGCGCTGAAGGCCAATTTGCGAACCGATGTAAGTTAAATGCTGAAAATCCATTGAAATAATTGTAATTTATTCCATTTTCTTTCGTAGGCTGCTAAGCGCAATGAGACCCATGTGAGGTTCACTCCTTGGGTCGATGGAAAACCAGCACGTAAGTAAAACATTTAATATACTTAATATTTGAATCAATATATAATCGAACTCCAGAATATGTGCCTACCTTATTAGGGTACATCACAGTAATACAGTAAAGTATGGCAAAGTTTTGGAGAAATCATTTTGTAAAACATTTAGTAAAATGCATCAATGCAGCTAAATTGAACCGACAAGGTCTAATTAAAATTCATGCTTGAATTGTCACCTTAAATTCATAAGAAATAGTCATTAGCTAGAATATTTAAATTTCTTTCTTAAAAATTTAAATCAAAATTTAAGCCTGACGGTCAAGTACCTATTCAATTATTAGAATATTATTTACAAATGTTTAATTTTATTATATTTTACTATTAAATTTTCAGATGAAAAGTAAAACAGCATCGAGCTAAACATTTATTTAAATTATAAAAAAGTATGCGATGTAGTAAGTGAAAATAGACATCAGTTGTTTCGTTTCCCAATTAATTGGTTAAACAACTAACGTTCTTGTTTTTTGCTTGTTTAAGTTTTTCCTCTATGTTCTATTCCTGCTTTCAAACAACGTGTCGTACACAGAATCCAAAAATAAACAAACAAAAATCTCCTGCTTTAAAAAAGTATTCCTGCCAAATGATCGATCAATAATCTTAATATATTTAAGTTAAGTAATTAGTGACTCCCCTAGCACATTACTAACATGGCATTTTCGAATTATAAAAAATTCCCAAGCTCACACATGATCGAGAGTTTCAGCATGCCAACTGCCTAGACTTAAAAAAAAAAACGAAAAGTTCATAAATAACTGTATGTGTCATTTGACTCAACGTTTAATCTTTGTTAATATTCCGATATGACTACTGATGAGCCACCACCATCAATACTACGCTGTTTAATTTTGTTTGTCAGTTTATCGCACATCTATGTCTGTTTGTGTATATGTACATTTATTTGATACAAATAAAATTAATAAATTTATTTTCGCAGGGCGCGCGGTTGAAGAAGCCTAAGAAGGCTCTACTTACGGAACACTATCGCATTTAGTCGCAAAACCCAACAACACCACGGTTTATTTACTTCATTTGTAGTACTGGAATTTTCGATTCTGCATTCGAACGAAAAATTATAAATAAAAACATCTTAAGATAAACATAAAAATTACTTTCTTTTTATTTTATAAAAATATAGGTACATAAAATGCATTGAATGCAAATGCATATTGACGTATAAGAATACTATATCAAAATTTAAAGCTTGATGAATAGAGAATTAAATTCAAAATACAAACATTTGGAAGGCAATGTTTTGGTCTTGTAAGTTTTCTATTCTTTGTCGAGTTCCTCGCCAATATTATAAAAATGTTCCCACGTCTGCAATTCTTCATACAACTTACGACCGGGACTCTCGGTCGAACGGCATTGGCAGTGAGCGATAAGCTTATAATCAGGTGCCAAGTGCCCTTCCTCCACACCTCTGCAGCAAATCAAAAAAATAAAATAAAACGATTATACACATGTACTACTTGTTTGATAAAGGTACAATTTTTTTTGGAATAACAAACCTTTTGAGGAAATTTTTGCATGCGTTCAGCGCAGGTTCACTTGGTAATTCGCGCATAAAACAGCCAATAAATGCAATACCTACAGATTTCGAATTGTAACCGATTGTGTGAGCGCCCACTACACCCCATCCACGTCCTTCGTACACATTACCATCACATCCAACCAGAAAATTGTAAGCAATATCATTCCACTCGCGTGATTCAATGTGAAAGCACTAAGGGATAAAAATTTTTTATTTTACAAATTATTAGTTTGTATTCACTAAGTACTGATAAATTAAATCTTGTAATGCAGTCAGTTGACTAAGCTTTTGTCCATTTATAGCTACTTATTTTAATGCCTTTTACATTACCTGAATGTCACGTATCAACCGCACATTTATAGCTTGTTTCTCGGAGCTCTCTGTGGCTGTGTGCGCTGCAATTGAACAAAAAATATTAAATGACACTCTCACAAGCAGTATGTGGTATGCTCACAAATTATAACCAAATTCACCGGCTCCGGTATAAAATCATAATCTTCCATAGGCCTCTGTGCCAGCCAAGTGCTCCGTGGTAGAACAGCGCAAAGTTCCTTTGGTATTTTATACTCTTAAAAGTTAAATAAATACATTAATTTAAGCTATGGCTAATCATAAAAATGTGATTTGCAAAAATTCAATTAAGCTACATCATGTACACAAAGCGATTAGATATACCATAGCTATGTATACTAACTTATGCGATCGATGAATGCGTCACGTTTCACACGCTCCTCTTGTTCTTCACTTTCCTCCGTTAAGAGCGATTCACTTGCATTTCCCCGTGTGGCTACTGATGCAGTGGAAGTTTGTCGTGATATTTCAGGCAAGCGCTTCTTAATACGTTGTATAATCTGTATGTTGCCGTTAATATTTGTGACATTGCCGATTCTTACATTTGACGAGTTCTCTATGTGCACATTTTCCAAAGTTTGCACGCTATTTATTGAATTGAGTAGTTCACGTAGATTTTCTATGACCACAGCCATATCCGTTGGAGCTAAGCAATAGAAAATAAGGGAACAAGTGCAGAACAAGGCCCGTTTTTCGAAAATTCACCCTTTAGCCCTCCATAGTACCTACAAAATAAGTTTGCCACAAAGATTTGTATACCATTAGAATTAGAAAACACCACGCCCACTCTTCTGCTTTTTTTCTAGCTTAACGGGTCGTAGTACGCACGTGTGCGATTATGTGCCTTTGCCCCTCCATAGTCCCAAAAGTATGTTTGCCAAAAAAAAAAAAAAAAAAATTGCATACCACTAAAATCAGAAAAAAAGGCAGGACCAAAAAAGGGAGGACCACGCCCACTTTTGCGTTTTTTCTAGCTTAACGGGTCGTATTCTGCACTTAAGCCAAGTGTTAATAAAAATTAATTTGAATTTGCTAATAACTACTACTTACTGTACTGCGTGCCTAATACTTTGGTCGTTAAATTGTTGTTTGTTGAGTCGAAATCAGCTTCTGCTTCAGTTTCGTAATCGCCATCACTGCTGGATAAGATGGACGAATCTGCCAATGAAGATATATCATCTTCTATTCCAGAATTACCCAATTGTTCCTGCCGTTCGATCCATTCCCGTGTCGCTGCTTCTTTCTCTGCATTTAGTCCACTAGTTTGCGACATGTTTGAATTCGGAGAGCAAGCTCCACACCACTATCTGATGGTCTATGTAAAGTTTCAAAGCGTAATTTCAAAAGTAATTTGTTGTGAAAGTTTGTAAATTTAACAAACTTGTAGGGGCACTCTTCACGATATAAAATGGAGTTTGCACTATATTTACACGGGATTTACACACAATGTATGTGCAATTAGAGTGCACCATCTAACGAATAAATACTTTTAGTATATTGCAGCTTTTTTATGGATTTAAGTTACTTCTTAACTTACAGCTTTTTTATGAAAAATTTATTGTTGGGCAAAATATTTGCAAATGACATGGGGATGTCGGAAAAACATCGATGTATCGAGAATATCGATGTTTTGCTTCGATGCATCAAAAATTTTCATCGTAAAATATCGATGTACATTTGGACGCATCGAATCAAAAAAAGAGATCAAAGAACATTTTATGCATAGTTCGCGAATTTCTGAAATAAAGTGCTTTGAAAAGTGACAATGCACTGGCGAGAAACTAAACAGTAGGGTTGTGATTTTTTGGACTCCTTTTGAATTTGCAAAGCCGCAAAGGCAATGAACCACATTTGATTTAAATTGGTTTTAGGGCCG